TTTAAGTTTTCAGGGAACCAGCAGTTAGCGTAATGGCTATGTCGCTGGACTCCCACGTAGTCAATCGCGGTTTGAGTCCCGGACCCGGTGGCTTAAAACTCACGCCGGGCGCATGTGCATACGTGCCCAAGATCCCGAGAGGAGAATGGAGGAGAAGGGATTGCGGTGTGACCATCCCCCCTGGGGGAATGATTTCTCGCTTTCTGTCTCTGTCTCTGTCTGTCTGGCGAGCACACGCGCCCTATAGCAAAAATCTCTCCAAAAGAAAAAAAGTTTTCAGAAGAACTCTTGGTTTTTGGCTGATTTGAGTGAAAGGCTGGAGTTGCCTTGGATTGTGATAGGGAGGCTTCTGATAGCGCAGATTCAGGGTGGAAGATCAAGAATTCTACTCTGGGGACCAGCAGATGGTGTAATGGTAATGTTGCTGAACTCCCATGTAGTTGACTGCGGTTCAAGTCCTGGACCCCATAGCCTAAACTCACGCTGGGTGCATGTGCTTGCGTGTCCAAGATCCTAAGCGGAGAATAGAGGAGAAGGGATTGTGGTCTGGCCATCCCCCCTGGGCAGTGATTTCTCACTTTCTGTCTCTCTGTCTCTATCTTTCCAGCCAGCACATGCGCCCTATAGCACTTAGATATCTAGAAAAATGTTGACTAGGCAGTTGGATACATGAGCCTGATGTTTTGGACTGCAGAAGGAAATTTTGAGTCTTTGTGTATGGGTGGGGTAGAAGGAGTGAACAGAGAAGGACCATGGGTGAGCCCTGGGGCATGTTGTGAAGAGATTGGAGAAAAGAGAGAGAATTTGCAAAACAGTGGATTTGATTATTCTAGGCAGTATGCAACCTTAATAAAACCCATGCTGTAGGCCACAAAGATATATCTAGATTATGCATAAAGTAGAAATCATAATTTAAAAAAGAAAAAAGAATCTAAAGTGTGTGTGGGACGTTTAGGGTGTCTTCAAAACCACGCGAAGCAAGCGAGTTGAGGGAGTCAGCTTGGCCAATGCTGTGGAGAAGTGGGTGATTGGATTTCATTGATGACCTTTGTGCATGGTATTGTCAGGGAAGGGGCTGAAATCCTAGCTAGAGGCAGTTTAAGAATGGAGGGAGGTAAATGAAGACCAAAGTGTGTTTTTGTTTGTTTGTTTGGTTTTTGGTTTGGTTTTGTTTACAAGGAATCTGCCCCGGTGGCCAGCCTCCAGAGTAGCCTGCTTCTACAGGCCCACACCCTCATCGGTGAGGAAGTCTTCTTTCAGAGATTTTTGCCACAGAGGGAAGAAAAAGTAGTAAATCGTACAAGTCATGACATATTTCTCTGTCTTTCTTTGCAAAAACGTGTTATGACTTTCCTGCGACCCGATAGTAGTGGCCTGGCACAGAAAGTGGCGGGAGATATATATATATATATATATTTTTTTTTTCTTTTCTTTTTTGTTTTCTTTGGCTCCCCGGGAGAATGGCCACGCTGCAATCCCCCTTCCACTCTCTCAGGATTTGGGGCACACATGCACACGTGCCTGGTGTGAGTCTGAAGCCACTGGGGCTGGGACTCGTTCCACAGTTGGCCATGTGGGAGTCCAGTGAAGTACCACTGTACAATCTGCTGGTGCCATCTTTTTTTTTTTTTTAAACTTTATTTTTTTATTTTTTTATTTTTAATTTGTTCAGAGAGGGATAGGGTGAGAGAGAGAAAGAGAGAGGGAAAGTGAGAAAGCAAGTCGCCAGGTCTGGGACTCAAACTGCAATTGGCCATGTGGGAGTCAAGTGCTGTTAACCACCATGCCACCTGCTGACCCTGCTGGTGCCATCTTTTGCCCACTTTTTTCCCCCTGCTTTATTATCTTGTTTTTCCTGCTTTATTATCTCTCTCTCTCTCTTTTTTTTTTTGCTTATTGTGATTTTTTTAAAGAATTATTTTATTTAACTTTATCTATTTGTTTATTGATTTATTTAAATTTGACCAGGGAGGGACAGAGTGAGAGAGAGGAAAAGTAAGAAAGCAAGCTGCCAGTTCTGGGACTTGAACCACAATGGCCATGTGGGAGTCCAGCACCCTTAACCACCACGCCCCCCGCCAACTTGCTTATGGTGATTTTACTCTGTAGAGCCTTTTCATTTTTATGTGTTATATGTATAAAATATGTAGACTAATTTGAGGATGATTGGCATCTTGGTTATGTGTGTTATGTCTGTTTACTCAAGTCATCTTTTATGTAATTGTCTTTTTTTGGTTTTAATTGCCAGAGGGTATTGTGCTTGCTGGAGAGAGATGAGGGAGTGATGGAAGGAAGGAGACAGGGGAAGTTCGTCCAGTAGGGCAGGTCAGGTGCAATCCCTTCTCCCCCATTGCTCCCATTGAGATTCGGGCAGTTCACGCTTATGCACCCCGTGTGTTTTCAGGCCACTGAGGCCAGGATTCAAACTATGGTTGACCACGTAGGATCCAGCTCCCTTAACCACTAGGCTAGGAGGACAGTCTTCTCCTTAAATTGTGATTATTTTTTTCCCATAAAGGTCTAATCCAGGGCCGGACCCACAACCTGGTGGTTAAGGCAGCTGGATCCCATGTGACCAACTGCACAGTTTGAGTCCTGGATCTGGCAGTTTGGGACACGCTGGGCCTGTGTGCATCTGTCCAAAATCCTGAAAAGAGGGAGAGAGGGAGAAAGGATTATGACGTGACCATTCTCCATGGGGTACTTTCTCCTTTCATATCTGTCTCTCTCCTACAAGTGCATACACCCGGTATGAAGAAATAAAAGTCCATTAGCCTGGGGCCTGCAGGTATCATGGTGGTTAAAGGCACTGGACTCCCACATGGTCGACTGTGGTTCGAGTCCTGGACCTGGTGACTTGCTTTCTCACTTGCTCTCGCTCTGTCCCTCTCCGGTCAAATTAAAATAAATAAAGTTATAAAAAAGAGAAAACAGTCCATTAGTCTATTCTTTCATGGCTTAATTCCTAGATACTTTATAATTCTGGTTGCTATTATAAACAGTGTCTTTTAGGGACCAACAAATGGCACAATGGTTACATCGATGGGCTCCCATATAGTCAATCACGGTTTGAATCTTGGATCTGGTGCCTTGAAACTCACCCCGGGCACGTGTGCGTGTGTGTCCAAAATCCCGAGAGGAGAATAGAGAAGGGATTGTGGTGTGGCCATGGCCCCTGCGCGGTGCCGGGCGGGGGGGATTTCTTGCTTTCTGTCTGTCTCTCCAGCAAGAGCACGAGCCCTATAGTAAAATATCTCTCTAAAAAATAAACAAATAAAATAAACAGTGCCTTTTATATTTTCCGGTTTTAATTCAGATATGGAGAAACAGTTTTTTTTTTTTTTAATTCTTTTTTTTTTTTGGAGAGGTTTTTGCGTGTGTTCACCAGACAGACAGAGAGAGACAGAGAGAAAGTGAGAAATCACCCGCCAGGGGGGATGGCCACGCCGCAATCCCTTCTCCTCCATTCTCCACTCGGGATCTTGGGCACGCACGCACACGCGCCGCGCCCGGCGTGAGTTTAAGCCACCGGGTCTGGGACTCGAACCATGATCGACCACATGGGAGTCCAGCGACATAGCCATTACGCTAACTGCTGGTGCCTTTCATGAGAAACAGTATTGATTAGTATATAATATCCAACAAACTTGCTGAACACATACTGGTTATAATAAGTTGTATATTGATTTTATATGGCTTTCTTTTCTTTTTATGTTTTTGCTAAAGAGCTCATGTGCTCACTAGAGACACAAAGAAGGATGGCCATACTTCAATCCCTTCTCTCTCATCTCAGGATTTTGGTCACACATGCCACACATCCAGTGTGTTTCAAGCTGCCAGGACCAGGACTCAAACCTCACAGTCAGCCATGTGGGATCCAGCCGCCTAGCCTTAACCACCAAATCACCAGCTGGCCCAGCTTTTTTTTTTTTTTTTTTTTTTTAATGTTGCCAGAAGGTATATGCACTAGCCAGGAGAGACAGATGGAGAGTGAGAAATCCACCCCCCCATAGGGAGGGGTGGGCTGCAATTCTTTCTCCATCTCTTCCTCTTTTGGGACTTTGGACTCACATGTAAACACACACACACACACGCAATTGGCATGTTTTTCTTTCTTTTTTTTTTAAGAATTATTTTATTGAACTTTATTTATTTATCTTTTAATTTGACCAGAGAGCAACAGAGAGTGAGAGAGAGAGAGAGACAGGGGAAATGAGAAAGCAAGCTGCCAGATCTCAGACTCAAACTATGGTTGGCCATGTGGGAGTCCAATGCCCTTAACCACCATGCCATCTGCCAACCCCCACCTTTTTTAAAAAAGAATTATTTATTTAGTTAATGCCATTTGTTATCTTTCTTTTGTTTAGAGATTTTTTCTTTTTTTTTTTTTTGCTATAGAGTGCACGTGGGCACCTGAGAAACAAGAGACAGAAAGTGAGAGAGACAGTGTGATTACACCCCTCTTGGGTGGGAGGATGGCTGCATCCCTTCTCCTCCATTCTCCTCATGGGATTTTGGGTGCACACACACCTGGCGTGAGCTTCAAGCCACTAGGTCCGGTACTTGAACTATAGTGGCCATTTGGGAGTCCAGCAATACAACCACTATGCTATCTGCTGGTTCCATGTTATTATTTTTTAAATTTGACGATACAGAGACAGGGAAGCCAGAAAACAAGCCTCCAGGTCCTGGACTCAAACTGATTTGACTGTATGACAATCCAGTGCCTTTACCCACCATGCCACCTGCCAGCCCCAAACCAGCATGTTTTTCAAGCTGCCAGGGTCGGGGACTTGAACTGCACTGTTGGCCAGGTGCGATCTAACTCACTTAGCCACCAAGCCACAGACTGGCCTGATTTTATATGGTTTACCATGTTAATCACGTTTTTTTTGTCTGCAAACGGTAATTTTGCCATATTCTTTCTAACTTTGTCTTTTGTTACCCCTCCCCCCCAGTACCGTGGTGGTCTTTAGCATGGTGCTGGGCATCCTTCTGCTCCCTGAATTGCTCATCACTTCCCACCTGGACCCCTCTGTGGCATGGCCATACTCCTGGGCAGAGTATGGGACAGACATAGTTTCTGCCCTCAACAGCCAGTTGGCCAATGTGCCCTTTGCTGAGGCTGGATAGAGTGGCGGAGCATGGAGCTGGAAGCCAGGCTTCGAATGCTCCAAGTGCCTGCTGGCTACGTGGTGAGGACCTCCAGTGAGGCTAGCAGATTGGCTGGAGCTGGGGTAAAGAGCTGAGCGTCCTCAGGCCAGCCAGGTGGTGCGGTGATTAAGGCAGCTGCATCCCGTGGGGCCGACTGCGTGGTTTGAGTCTCGGACCCAGCAGCTTGAAAGACACGCCAGGTGCATGTGCGTGCGTGCCCAAAGTCTAGAGAGGAGAATGGAGGAAAAGGGATTGAGGTGTGGCCATCCTCCCCAGGGTTGTTTTCTCACTTTCTTTCTCTCTTCCTCTGTCTGTCTGGCAAACACACATGCCCTATAGCAAATTAAAAAAAATTTTTTTTAGAGTCCTCAGTTTTTAGATGGCTACTGAAACCATAGGCCTGAGATCACTTGGACCATGTGTGCAGAGTGAGAAGACCACATGGGAAATGAGACGGAGAGGGCAAAGGGTCATTACCCCCTGGCTGGGCCCACCCCCTCCTCCCAGAGAAGCTTCAAGGCCACAGTGGAAATCCTCGGACATTTTGATTCTCTTTTTCTGTGTGTGTATTTTTGGGAGAGATTTTCGCTATAGGGTGCATGCGCTCACCAGAGACATTAGAGACAGAAAGCAAGAAATCACCCCCCAGC